TCTGAATGTGATCGTCAGTGTTTGCAGAACCTGGCTGCCTGCTAATTAGCACTTATGTAACGCTCTGCTGTCTGTCAGATAATAGGTGGCAGCATGTCACTCGATGGTGAGTGCTCAGGTGCGAGGCTGGGGAGCTGGGGGGGGGGTGAGGGGTGGTTGGTACGAGCCCGATGGGGGGGTGCCTGTCTGAAAAGGATGCCAGAGCTGTCTGTCAGAGATTAAACACTGACAGGAGTGACAGAGGCAGCAAGACCCGTATTTTTTCCTCTGTAGTACTGCAGGATACAAACAGCCCGGATTCATCTCGTAATCACATAACCAAACTTCAGCATGTTCTTTTGTTAAAGCTGACCTCTGCATTGGGCACGGCCCAGACCAGCCAGTGGCGTTAACTGGGATGCCATCCTGCAGTGGGCATTTGAGTGGGCACCAGTGTCAGTGCTGTGTTTGAGGCCGCTGTGCTGGGGGCAGTGACAGTAAATGTTCACCCCCCCTGCGCCCCCATAGTCACACCCCATGACCACCCCAAGTCCCAGTCTCAGAAGGCTCCGATGCATGTTCTTGTACCTCTCACTTTTCTTGGTGACAACCCTTGATAGCTATTCGAGACCAGGAATACATTATTATATCAGCAGCAACTTTCTGGCCAAAATTGTTTTTTTTTTATGTTTAAAAACTAAAGCTGCTGCAGTAATTTACAGCTTGCTGTTAGCTGCTGAGTCACTAAAAAAAACAGGCAAGAAATGAGCACTTTGGATACATTCAAAGTACTTGAGGGGGGGGGGTGGAGAGCCTTTCATGCATTTCCATACCGCTAATCCAGCAGAAGGGTGCAGGGAGCCTGGAACTGATACCAGGAAGCACAGGGCCCACAGAACCGATCCCGGGAAGCACAGGGCCCACGGAACCGATCCCGGGAAGCACAGGGCCCATTGAACCAATCCCGGGAAGCACAGGGCCCATTGAACCAATCCCGGGAAGCACAGGCCCATTGAACCAATCCCGGGAAGCACAGGGCCCACGGAACCGATCCTGGGAAGCACAGGGCCCACGGAGGGGACAACCGAGTCCGGCTTCCGCTCGTTTCATGCTTTTTGGCTGGAAAAATCCAAACTAAACGTGTAATGGCTAAAGATTTCAAATATGGCTTTGGGACTCGTTTCGGGATTGGGTTAAAACGATTTCGAGCAAAGAAAAAGGGCCGGCGAATGGATGACAATGATGTTGCTGGGGATCACTGCACATTCTGAAGCCATTTTCGAATTCTCATGCTGCAGTCGCTCCACTCAGTTTTCCTGCTGCTGTGTGGTGAGTTCCCGCTGGACGGAAAGGCTGGACTTCATAGCCAAATGAAAGATGAAGAATGAGAGCGGGCCACGATCAGCCCTTTCTCGAGGCGCCAAACTGCCAACCCAGCTTAAACACTTTGCGTGTCGCTGCATTACACACAAACTGAACTCTTTTGTTTACAGTGAGCAGGGAGCAGCTGGACACCATGGTGATTAATGGCACCAACGTTTGGGCCGCTTAGCGCCACACGCTGTCAGATGAGGGTTATTTCAGTCACCACGAGACACTGCTATAAACGGTAAGCAAATAAGCAATTAAATGAGGTAGGCAGCTCTCCTAGCAAGGCCTATAATTTTAACGCCCACTGGTGAAAATGGTGAAATAAAATGTTTCAAAATCAATTACCCTCTTTTTATTTACTGATGCCCAATAAAACCCAGTTACTGCAGCAGTCCAGGGTACCGCAGAGCTTTCATATGATTTATGACTGAGAGCAGATGAATAAATCACAGTTTGATTTCAGTATGGTTCCTTTAAGCAGAAGAAAGTGTTGTGGATGTGGCCGTGTAATATTACATACCAAGACCAAACCTTGCTCTGTTGAAGTGACCAGCAACTTGATTCCACTTTTGGAAAACTGTGTTCAGTGACACGGACGGTAACATGAGTCTTACCCTGGAGAGTGTGGCCATCCCCCGCATGGAAACCAGCCCATGGGCAAACCATAAGGGGCAAGATATACCTGAACTGCATGCTTTTGTCTTCTCACAGGAAACCGGGCTGCTCACAATAGAATGATAGGCAGACAATATGCCGCTCAAAATGCAAATCGCCAAGGTGTTACTGCAGCATTAGCTACTATGATCGCGGACATGCACTGACCCCAGTAAGGCCAGCAGAGACGCACCGACGGAAACGGATACCCTGTGCTTTTGCATCCATAGTGTAGTGCCTCTTCACTACACCGTCAAATTTTAACCATCCTGTTTGGCAATGGAGAGCCAGCCTCCTGCCATATAGCCTCATCTAGGTGCCCTCCATGGCCGTCTGCTGGTCCAGGTGCCCTCTGTGCCGAATATGTGGTCGTGACACACGTCAGAGTCAAGATGGCTCCTCTCAAAGCAGACCGAAATTGCCCCATGGCTCACTGTCAACATGGATGGGGGGGGGGACACACGCCTCACATGAGGCATAGTAAGACGTTAAAGAACAAAGAGAGTGTTTGTGGATCTGACCGACACCAGCACACAGAGCTCGTGGGGGAGATTAGGTGAACTTCATGGCGGGCAGGAAGTCTGCATCACAGCCAACACCATGATGACCACAGAAAGAAAAATTGAAGTGATTTAACCTTCCCTCAGGCTAAATTGCTGCACCATAATGAAGGTAGAGGAAGGTATTAAAGAAGGGCTGGACAAAGCCAGCAGGAAGGCTCTGCTTTCATACCCGGGGCAGTCTGCACACCTCACGCACCCCCGAGCAGCAGAACACCATTCATCTTTTTAATCGCAGCAGCTTTTCGTCTAACCGGCATGAATAACGGCAGCTGGATAGGTTTGGTTAAGCCGTGCTTTTGTGGAGGATTAGTTTAGAGCGCTCCCTGAACCAAGCCTCCACCAGAAGCACCCCGAGCAGACAGGGCCCAGCCCAAGCCACCCTGCTCCCCTTCACCCAGTCGGGTGCGACCCTCCCAACATAACCAGCAGCCTCCGTCTTTCTGGATTCATTTCTCCCCTTCCACCTCCATAAATAACAGATACGATTGCCTAGTTTGTCAACACAGAGACAGACTAATGTTATTGTTGCTTTCATATTTTGGCCTAAATAAGCAATCCATCCCCCCCCACCCCACCCCCCTAATGTACCGGGGCCAAGGAATAATTTGATTGACAATCACCTTTAGGGGACAAACAACAAGGTGAAGACCAGACCATCTGTCGGTCCAAAAGAGCCAAATGAATCCCACCGACGTCAGCAGACTCATGGTGCTGAAGATGAAACCACAGCATGTGGCTGGAACATCTGTGGACAGAAGACAACATTTCAGCAAACGCAGACGTTCTGTCCTACTGCAGACCTGCAATCATGGGTATGGAAAGAATTTAGAAAGTCAAACCCACACCTCAAGCTATGAATTCATTCGTGACTCACATTCATAGATTCTTATGAATGTATTTTCAAATTTTTCATTTGACTTATAGAACTGGGAAAAAAATCCATAGGGCTCCACCAGACAGAGCACCACCCAGAATGGCATGTCAGTCCAGGGCACGGGGAAGAAAACATACACTATTAATAGCTTAATAATTGATAAATGAGTCTTTGAATTATTAATCTGATGCTTATATCCAGAGTGACTTCAAGAAACTTTGTACCAAACCATCCCATCCACAACAGTCTGCTGTATTAGCAGTTTCATTGATAAACAGCAGGAGATAAATCGTATTCATCAGCAGATAAACTTTCAGGGTGACTGTCAGCTGATCGGGGAGGGGGGCGGAGCCCCGGCATGACCGGGATGCCCCACCGACACAGGTCCATCTGTTGGTGGTGATAATGCCACTGAATTGTCCTATGAGCCTCAGGCGTGTGCCATTAACCGGCCATAAACCCCGACCTCCGCCCTCCCAGCCGTGCTTCTCCGGGGCCTTGATGGGGGCAGATGTCAATTTTAACACCTCAGACTTCCAAGAAATAACACAACCTTCCAGAAGCACCAGCCACCCCCAAGCTAAGACCCCCAGAAGAGGGCCACACCTTTGGTAAAGCAGCTCCAGACTCCTGCCAAGCTTAATCATTCACAACCTTTCCCACATGTAAAACAGGAAGCTGTCACATGATTCCTGGAAAGGAACCTTCCAGAAAAAGTAGTTTTCAACCTGCCTGGCATCAGATAAAACTAAAAATGAGTAAATGAAAGGTATTACAACAAGACGAGCCTGAAGACAAAAAAGTTGAAACTTCCTAAAAAGATAATCCATCACTATGTAAGTCTAAAGGTAGGAACAGCCTAGACTTTGAACAGGTCAATGGGCACCTGGCAGCATTAACCTAAAGAGTGAGGCAATAAGCAGGAGGGGGATCCTGTCTGTGCTCTAGCGTAGAGAGAGAGCAGGAGATACGCTTCGGTGGTCAAACGCACCATGTGAAGAAATGCTTTGCTGCACGGCATGGAGGGTCGAGAAGCGTAACAGCTGGAAATAGTCGACCGTTATCAAAATAACGATTTGCTTTGAGTCTAAAAAGACTAAAAATAAATCAATAAAGAGTAGAAGTTAGCAGATACTGATAGGGGGACGACAGGCCTTCTGGGCAACCATGAGCACAAAGGTACAGAACCGTGAAAGAATCACATGTGTGTGAGTCCAGCCGCAACACCCCCTCAGTCATGCAGGCCAGCGGACGCCGTCCAAAGCAGCTGTCTGTTGGGCTGGGGAGCGTTTTCACGGTGACTGTTCAGCCAATAGCAGTAATCTAGGCTCCTGAGCCAGTTCCCAAGCCACGACACTCTTTTCCCAGGCAGCTGGAGCACTCGCTGCAAGCCGCCACCTCTTCTGACGACGGCACCCGTCGCCATGTTGGATCACCATCCCCACACTAAACAGGCCTGGGGTTAAAATGGCCGCCACACCAAATCCTGTAAACACGGTTAACATCTCCAGAGGTAATATTTATAGGCCAGTTTATAAAATAATTACATGCTGCAAAAGTCTGAGGGAATGAATTTTTAATAGCTCTTTATTTATGATGATCCTTTACGATGACACAAGCATTTCCCGCAAGAGCCCCAAAGTCAGAGGTCTGCCAGAAGCATGCCCCCTAGTGGTCTCTGCGGGTACAGAAACATGCAGCTCCTATTTGACATATGCAGCAGTAAAGTGCACCAAACTCCTTTATGCACATCGTTCTGACGCTTAACAGACAAGACGGTCACAGTCGATCGTGCCTTTCAGAGAACAACAGAAATGCAAGCAGAGACGGACCATCGTCGCTGCCACCACGAGACACGGCTTCTCGGATTGTCACCAGCAGGCATCGGCGACTGAGGACGTGTCACACGTGGGATATGGGATCCACCAGCGTCTCCCCTGGGTCCGACGTCCACGATCCCGCTGGGGCAGCGCGAGGGTGCAGCGTGATTAAGGAACAGAGTACCTGTATTGGAGCAGCTAGGGCTTTAAGCAAACCCAGGGCAACTGGCCAGTTAACGGTCAATACAATTTCAGCAGGGATTCGTCACATCACTCGTACCCTACTCCACTGGGGGTGTCCGTGTACAAAGAGGGGACAAAATAAAATAAACATGAGTACATAAGAAATATATATTCATTTATAAATTTATAACTGTATTTACACAATGCCGTTGGGTCCAAATGTGTTGGCCGACTGTGGAGCAAATCAAGGTGCAAGGTTTTCCTTGGCAGGATCTCTGTTTGTTTTGAGAAAATGTCTGAAGAGCAAAAAGAATGAGTCTCCTCTGTAATGGGGAGGTAGGACAAGGGTAGGGGCACTTGTCCCCAGTGTCGCCCCCCCCCCCAGCCCATCCTCCCCAGCGCCTGCTCCATCTCTGAGTGCTCCACTGAGTGCCTTCAGTCCAGGTCCAGGCTATTCGAAGGCAGTCAAAATGTTCAAATTCATAATTATAAAGTGGACGTTTAAAAGTGAGGTCCGTCCCCCCCCCCCATAGAAAGGTTCATCTCTATGCGAGTCCAGGCCAGCAGGGAGGCCCCATGGAGACACGGCAGTGTGGTGTGAGAACAGGAGGATGATGGGGAGGACCGCTTTGGCATCAGGTCGTCAGCGCTTCTTGAAGGCCGGCCCGTTGGGCTGGGGGGGGAACTTGGGCAGGCAGGGCTCCTCGGCGCCGGCGTCATGGCAGAACACGGAGTCCTCCCCCGAGGAACATGTGGAGCCACGTGTGTCGGGGTAGCTGGGGGAGTACTGGTCCAGGGGCATGGACAGGTCCAGGTACTCCTGCAGAACCGAGAACCGGGTGACGGGGGGGCACTGCTACATGGAATTTCACTGGCTAACAAGAACTTTTGTCCTCTGTTGACAGGGGGTTATTATTTCCTTTTTGGGATTCATTTCCCTGGACAACACAGTAATGAGTCCTCATAGTGATTAATCACTGCAGTACAAGCAGCATTAGCTGAATTAAACATGCACCCATTACTGCACTGGATGAATTAGAGCAATGCCTATTAAATATGCTAACTGGTACATGCAGACATAGTGATGATGCCTGCAAGGGGGTCGCCGAGGAAACAGGAGGTAAACACACCTGATTGGACGACATGACCAGGATACGGTCCAGGTCCTCAACGAGCTGCTTGAAGGTGGGCCTCTGAGAGGGCACCGCGTGCCAGCAGTCACGCATCATCATGTACCTGAAGTGAGAGGACGGGGTTGGGAGGAGGCAGAGGGAGGGGGCTGTAAACATGGGGCACTGGGGAGGCCCAAAAGTAACGATAAATTCATCACACCCGACCCCCCCGTGCCAACGGTAGAACGTCATGCCAGGCTAATTCTGTCGAATGTTCGGTTGAGCCATGATGTCTTATGGCCATGACAGGCTTCAAGAAAAACATCATCTCCCTGGTGGGAAAGGGAGAAGTCGGCGTGCCGCTTACAGCTCGTGGGTGCAGGTGGATGGGCGGTCCATGCGGTGGCCCTCCTTCAGCAGCTTGAAGAGCTCCTCCACCGGCACCCCAGGGTATGGGGAGCCGCCCAGCGTGAAGATCTCCCACAGCAGCACGCCGAACGACCACCTGTGGGGAAGTACACAGCTCAGAAGGGCACAAACGAGAGCCAGACTGCAAGTCAACCTGAGGCTAGCTGCTGTCCGCAGTGCGCCGCTCACGCTGAGGCTAGCTGCTGTCCGCAGTGCGCCGCTCACGCTGAGGCTA